TGTGCGCACGGGGGACACATGGCGTGTCTGTGCTGAAGCTGCCGCGGAGGCTGCTCCTGGTGACGTACGTCTTTGTTGTCCTGCAGAAGCGCGCGGTGCTGCAGCGGGCGCTGCCGTCGGCCTGGAGAGGCCGGGTGTAGGTTGAAGGTGAAGTGTAGTGTCGTTGGTGTGGTCAATCAGTAGATTTATCCAGTTCGTCATGTCCTCGTGTATTTGGTCCACTTTTTGGCGTACAGAAGAATCGTCGGTGTCCCGAGAGCGTTGGGAATGCCGATCAAGTCGTTGCTCGTATGCTCGGAGACGGGTGTTGTGTGCCTCCATATCACATTCCAGACGTGTGAGACACTCCTCAACACGTACCTTTTCAGCATCTCTGTCACGAATGGCCTGGGAGAGCTCAGGCTGCGTGTGGTCCGCCGCCGTCTTAACCTCCTGCCACCTGTCAGTGAGGCGGGCGAAATCGTAAACCGTAGGAGAAGATCCCAGCTGGCCAGTCTGGGCTCGTCCGACACGCAACTCTGCCAGGGCGTCCTGTACATCAGGTAAACGCTGCTCGATATCAGAGATCCGGTTAGTGAGGGGCTGCACGACAGCGCCAGTCGCATCAAGCCGTTGAGCGATAACTCTCTCAGCGTTTTGCAACGTGCCGATCAGGGTCGACGAGTTGGTGTTCGCTTCAGTGCGAAGCGTCGCCGTAGCGTGGCCCATGTGGGATCGAAGACCATTGAGTTGGGACTGGACGTCGCCGAGGTCGTGTGCCTCAGACGGAGGCGGTCGGTTTCGGAGCTGGTCGTGGATCTCGTCATGTAGGATCCTGGCCGCTGAAACGCCTGTGTCGCGGACGATCACATGCTGTTGCTCCATCTGCTCAAGGTAGTTGCGCACGTGCTCGACCGTCGCTGACCGTTCACCTGAGTATGACATCTCACGGTCAACCTGAAACTGCATCTCACCTAGGATACGATGATCTTCAGCGATCCTGGAATATATGATCGCTGAGGCGCCGTCGAAATCTTGACATAAGGCAGCAGTGTTGGCAGCGTTCGTCTGAACGCTCTGCATCAGTCCAGAGTACTGCCTGGACACGAAGGTTTCAACCTGGTCTCGCAGCTCAGCAAGTTCACCTGCAGCGGACGTGGCCGCTGGCAGGTCGTCCGAGAGGGAGAGGTGAGGAGCGTCAGCTCCCGTTGCATCCTCTCGCGAGGAGTGCATGGCCTCTGAGAGGCCGCACGCGGGCTCGACCTAGTCTCGTCGTGGGGGCCTGTGGCCTCACGACAGTGACGCATGGGCGCGCTGCGGCTAGGGCCGTGTGTGAGTGGTGTCTGACGGGATGATACCTTGGGATGCTGCGTCTGCGGCTGCGCCGCCACTGGTTTACCGAGCCCCTCAAAGGCGGCAACGTGCTCCGACGCAGGAACGGTCGCAGGACTGGTTAGCCCAGCATTGGTGTTCCATCGGCGGTTAGCGCCGAAGCGCCCTGGAGTGTCGTGACCAGTGGGGCTTGCGCCCGACGCAGTAGGGATTGCTCCCGACGGAAGAGGAGATGGAGGATCGAAGGCAGGCGTGTGGAATCCTCCACTGCCTGCTCCTACTCCTTCTCCTGTCCCCCCGTGGGCGGCGCGGCGTCGAAGTTCAGCAGCTAGCCGCGCCTCGGGTCCGTCTGAGCTGGGGGGGGGGTGGGGGTATCTGGGACGCCCACGCGGTCACCTCTAAGGCTCTCCAACTCATCGCCGATCTGTCGCGCCGTCGGAGAGCTCGGACGCGATGCCTCGAAGGATCCCTTACGGCGCATGCGCCGCTTAGGCTCCATCGAGGCCGCGTGCGAAATCGCGACGCTGGGTTCGGTGAACAGTGAGCTTTACGGGCTGATAAGCTGTACATGGGGTTGAGTACAAAGGTACAGAACCCGTGATCCGTTGGTAGAGGATAGGAGGGAAAGATGGGGATAAAGGTCTGATCGATGCCAATACCTGAGCTCAAACGGCCAGGAGCAGGAGAACAAGGAGTATATATGAGGGTATTATACGGTTCTATTCACAGAGCAGAGCCCTGCTGGGCGCGGCTCATGAGCTCGGCCATGTCTCGACGTCGTCGTCGCCACTCTGCCTCGCGGGGGCTGGGGGGAGACGAAGAGGGCGAGGCCCCTGCCCGGCTCGACCAGTGGCTGCGGCCAACTGCCTGCCGCGAGCCGTCGGGCGATGCACTCGGCGCTGCCGCTGTGGCCGGCCGCGGCGCTGCCGCTCCTGGAGTTGGCCGCCCGCTGTTCCAGGGGCCGGCGCTCGGCGTTCGATCGCCTCCGCCGGGGCCCCCACTCGTAAACTGCGGAGCCCCCGAGGTGCCCCCAAACCCCGCGCGCGCCTGGCGTGGGTTGCTGAGCCGTTGGTCCAGGCGCCCCCTGATGTCCCAGATGGGCAAGTGGTGGGTGCGTTGGTGGTATTGGTGGTGCTCCCGGGGCTGCGGCGCCGAGGAAGGAGGCGCGCCCTCGCCGGCGGCGCCGCGGGCAGTCGCGCGCGAGGTGCGCCTCGGCGTCGCACGCGTGGCGCATAAGACGCGCCCCGCCAGGGCCCATATGATTGCTTTGGCAGCCTGGGCCCATGCCACTGGCCCCGCACTTCCCCCCCCCTTTGCACGCGCCTTTTCCAGTGCCGGCGACGAGCTTCCCGGGGGTCATTCTCGAGCGCGTCGGCCGGGAAGGCGCGGTAGCCTTTGCCGCGGCCTTCGCGCGTGCGCTCGATGGCCCCCCCACGCGCTGCGAGCGGGCTTGCTGTCTTTGAAGCTGCGCCTTGACTTGGCGCGCTCGCAAACCCAAATGGCGCGCGCCGCGCTGCTCCGCTGGGGCGTCGCGTAGCTCGGGGTCGTCGGCGGCGATCTCTTCGCCGAGCGAGCCGGTGGCGTCGGAGTCGCGGCTGCTGGGCGCGCCGCTTGCGCTGGGGCTGGAGTGCCAATGTCGGCGGCGACAGATGCTGCAGGCGGGCCCGGCGTCGCCCCCAAGGCGCCGGGCCCGCGCCGTGCCGGCTCGATCTGGCCGCGGCGCCGTGGACAATCAGAGCCTGATCTTGCGCGGGCGTGCCCGCGAATAACGCGCGGCGATGGGTCGAGCGCAAGGCCGAGGCGAGATTGCCCGGCGAGCCCTCGATTATGCGGCGCCCCAGCGCGACGGATGCCGAACCTGGCGAGGAGGTTGTCAATGGGCTCGGCTCCTGCAGCAATCGGTCGAAGTTCATCAATGCCGATGCCGCTCGGGCGCGCTCCTCCTCGCCTAGCTAGCCCCGCCGTCCGGCTAGGCTGCGCGTTGGGGAGGTCACGGGCGGCGCTGGGTTGCCGTTGGCGCGACATCCCTGGATCAGAACAGCCGGCGGCCACGCGTGCACGCAATCGCGCGCCGCGCCTGCGATGCGACACCAGACGTCGGACGCCCGGCGGAACTCATTGAGGTCTGAGTCCGCCGCTAGCCAGATCATGACCTCAGGCGCCCAACGTCGAAGGGCGCGCGGGCTTGCTACCTGGGCCTCCAGGCGCGGAGGCGTCGCGCATTGCCCCCGCCGCCGCCGTAGCCAGCGCCCACGCGCGCGATGCAGCTGGCGGCGGTGACTATGCCCACTCCGATGGCCTTCCATCCGGAGTGGCGCGCCCCCCCCTCCCCCATGCGCCAAGGGCGCGCAGGAGTCTTGGAGCCCGCCAGCGGCGATGCTCGGGTAGACTGCCGCAGGGCCGCCGTGGGCATCTGTCCCGGGCATGCTCCTCCTCATCAACGTATTGGGCACGTGTATCTGTCGCGTGGCTACGGTGCGATCGACACTCGGAGCGTCCCACTACGTCGTCATGGGAATGCGCGACGCGCATCGCGTTGTCATTGTACTGGGCACCACCAACTGTACGATAGCCAGGAGGAGTCTGCATCGTGATCCAAGTCTGCCAGGAACCAGGGAGTGCGTAGGCGATTGTGAGGGTCATGTTTCAGGCGGTCGGAGACGAAACGTCCCAGGTTCGTTTGACGGTCCCCCACAGTGCTGACGACATAATCGTCCGGCCCTCCTTTATCTTCCCGCTCTTCTATGCCTGAGTCCCCCCCAGACCTGGCAACATAATCGCCAAGAGCTCGGGGCGCTTCGCCAACGCCAGAGATCGCAGTCGCTTGAACGTCGGATCGATCGACTGTCTGAGTCCGTCGGCTGCCCCCACAAGTGGTGCAATGGAGGTATCGTGAAAACATGTTCTTTTTTCGGATGAAGTGTAAAGCGGGTCGAACGTTTATAAAAGTGGGCAAGGTTGGTGGCCACCTTGAGCCAACCAGCCACAACAGGAAAACTACCGACCGTACCCTGCATACCATGAAGACCCACTGCTCGAGTAGAATCGGATGATGATGATGATGATGATGATGATGATGATGATGATGATGATGATGATGATGATGATGATGATGGTAATGATGATGATGATGGTGGTGATGATGATGCTGATGCTGATGATGATGATGATGATGATGATGATGATGATGATGATGATGAGAAGGAGGAGGATGAGGCGGACGAGGAGAAGAAAACGAGTTCCACAATCTACCCCTGATCCCCTTCCCAGGGTGCATTTGTAAAGAAGTCGAAAGGTATCCAGCCGCCACGACGAGAAGTCTGCGGTATGCCTAGAACCTCGATCTACGGTTCTCGACCTTACACAGCCTTACCCCGCTCCCCATCCCGCCAAACATCCGACGCCGTCATTTTTCACCACGTGGCTACCCCGAGGTCTGGACCCCTTCACGGAGACCCCTTCCCGGAGTTTTTGTCTGACGGTCCCAAAGTCCAGCGAAGGCCCGCGGATGCTGAAAAGGATTGTCCCATCGATTTGATTCACGACGCGAGGGCGTCGGAGGCCTCCTCTCGCTCCCCATCTCCCCAGAAGCCTCCAGAACCCCCTGGCGGCCCCGCGAAGCACTCTGGACCCCCTCCCCTCCCTGACAGGCAGGCCTCGACGCCCGCGGGCGGCGGCGGCGGCGGCACCGGGGGCGGCGTCGAAGGTGCGCCCGGTGGAGGGGCCCACTCGGAAGCCCTCGTTGGGCTCCTGTGGCAACGAAGGGCCACGACGAGAGAGACACCGACGATAACAAATCCTGCATCTTGCTGCAAGAAAGCTACGGGCACGCTCGTCGTCAAACTTTGAGCTTTCCGAGGCGCCGCAAGGCTTCTGTGGGCTCCCGGGGCCGTGGGGGGATACGAAAATTCCGTGTGGCCTGCTGGCAGGCCGTTTTCTTCATTGCCGTGCTTACTGCGAGGGGGGACTGGACGAGCGGAGGGGGGAGCATCGAGCTGGAATCGGCGATACAACGCCGATGAATCGGCGACATGTCCCCGAAGGCGGATTCGCACCTGCCTGGGCGGGACACTGGCAATCTGGCCCCTATCGGCGATCCATGGGCGACCGGGGGTCGATGTGTCCCCCTTTGAGCCTATCTCCCCCTGACGATGCCCCTGTGGCAAGGGGGCCACGGCGATGCGAGGACGCGGAGGGAGCTGGTGCTGTCCTCGACTCTCGAGGGTGGAGGGGGGAGGTTTTCGGACGTCTTCAGCACATTTGTGTGTGCTTTTTGGGGAAACGAAAAGGTACCCATACCGCTACTCCCCGGATCCCCCCCGGGGTGCGTTCTGACCAGGATTTCGAGTCGAATCCAGCGGTGGCGACGAGGGCCTCCCGAGAGGCCTAGAAAGAATAAAGCTATGGGTAACTTTTCCTCCTCTGTGCTCTGACCTTGTTCGGGCCTCCAGAGGCCTCTGGTGACATCCGTGGGTCAGGATCCAGGGCAGAAAAAAACTAGCCGCCTCCTCCTCAATCTCCTGCCCTCCTCCCCTTCCTCCTCTCTCTTCTCTCCATCCTCTTTCCATCACCTCCTCCTCCTCCTCCTTCTCCTCCTTCTCCTCCTTATCCTCCTCCCCCCCCCCCCTCCTCCTCCTCCTCCTCCTCCTCCTCCTCCTCCTCCTCCTCGTCCTCCTCCTCCTCCTCCTCCTCCTCCTCCCCCTCGGCCTCGTCCTCCTCGTCCTCCTCCTCGTCCTCCTCCTCGTCCTCCTCCTCCTCCTCCTCATTCTCCTCCTCTTCCTCCTCCTCCTCCCCCTCCTCCTCCTCCTCCTCTTCATCTCTCCGCCTCCCCCTCGTCCTCTCTCCATCTCGTGCCCGCTGGCCCTGATCCTGCGGCGCCAAGCGCGTGGGGCTCAGCATACATAAGGTTTCTTGCGTATGAAGCTCCACGCGATTACCTGGGGTGTCACACACATGGGGTTCCGCATGCAAGGAATTCCACGCACGTGGGGATCCACGCGCCAGGTTCCTCACGCGTGCGGTTCCACACGCGTGCCCCCCATTCCACGCACACGCACACACACACACGCACACACACACACACGCACACGCACACGCACACACTCACGCACACTTACACTTACACTTACACTTGCACTTACCATTACACACACACACTTACACACACTTACACACAGTTACACACACTTACACACACACTTACACACATACACACGCTTGCACACACACACACACGCTTACACACGCTTACATACAGTTACACACACACTTACACACACACGCTTCACACACTTACACACTCTTGCGCGCACTTACACACATTTACACACACTTACATACAATTACCCACACTTACACACACTTGCACACACTTACAAACACTTACGCACAGTTACACTCACTTACACACAATTACACACATTTACAACGCACACGCACACTTACACACACACACACACACACACTTACAAACACTTAAACACACTCGCACACACTTACAACGCACACACACACACACGCACACGCACACGCACACGCACTCGCACACGCACGCGCACCCGCACACGCACACGCACGCGCACGCGCACGCGCACGCGCACGCGCACGCGCACGCGCACGCGCACGCGCACGCGCACGCGCACGCGCACGCACACGCACACGCGCACAGACACGCGCACGCCCACGCGCTCGCGCACGCAAACGCACACGCACACGCACACGCACACGCACACGCACACGCACACGCACACGCACGCACACGCACACCCGCAAACGCACACACACACGCACCCGCACACACACACATTCGTACCACACGCACGCACACACACACACGCACACACACGCACACACGCACACACACACACGCATACACACACGCATACACACATACACGCACACACGCACATGCACACACGCACTCGCACTCGCACACGCACGCGCACACACACACACACACACGCACACACACACACACGCACTCACACACACACACACAAACGCACACACACAAGCACGCACACACACACACACACGCACGCACAGAAACACGCACACCCCCCACACACCACACAACACACACACCACACACACACACCACACACAGACAAACACACACATACACCGACACACAGAGACACGGACACACACAGACACAAACGCAGACGCACGCACGCACGCACACGCAGACGCAGACGCAGACGCACACGCACGCGCACACTCACACGCACACGCACACGCACACGCACACGCACACACATACACGCGCACACGCACGCACGCACGCACGGACGCACACGCACGCACACGCCCGCACACGCACGCGCACGCACACACACATACGCACGCACGCACACGCACACACACACACACACGCACGCACACACACGCACACGCACGCACACGTACGCTCACGCACGCACCCGCGCGTACCCGCACGCACCCGCGCGCGCCCGCACGTACCCGCACGCGCCCGCACGTTCCCGCACGCACACCCGCACGCACGCCCGCACGCACGCCCGCACGCACACCCGCACGCACCCGCGCGCACACCCGCACGCACAC